AAAAAAAAAAAAAAGAAAGAAACACTCTTCGAAGACAGTTGGCACAGGCCCTTCTCCCCTTCTCCTTCCTTCTGCACACGGCATGCAGAAGCGGGCACTCAGCCTCCAGTTGTGACAATGGGCCATGAAGCAACCTTGAGCATGGCAGCCATGCAGGTCGCAGCCAGATGTCTGAAACCCGCGTCTCTGACACCATGTTGTTGTCACAGTAGCTCTGGACCATCTAACCTCTGGGTTTCACTTACATGGGGAAGAAACCTCTGCTTGGTTAAAGTCTCTGCTACTTGGAGTTTTCTCTCCTGGCCACTGAACTTAATCTGAACTAACTCACCGTGTGATTTGACCCACGTTCAGGAGTTAACGTGGACTTATACTGGACTTATATGGGTGAAGGAGAGAGGACACGGTGGGGACAAGAAAGTCCTGTCTCGATGAGCAGCTAGCACCCATTACCAGATTCGTGCGGCGCCAGCCCCTGGAAGAGCCACACCGTGTGTCAACCTCCGGAGAGGCCCAGGGAGCACCAGCTAAGGCCCCCCCAGCTCGGAGGCAGCCACGGGGCTTGGAAAGGGCGACAAAGGTGAGTGCAGAGCCCCACGGAAGTCTGTCCGAGCCAGGCTCCCAAATCCACTCAAAATGCAGCAGCGCCCCCCTCACGGAGATGCCTGCACGAGAGGCGAGCCCCACACTTCCACATCAGCAGGCCCGCACAGGTGGGGCACGGCTTACACATGGGGTGGGAGCATGGCACATGGCAGGGAGAGAAGGCCCCAGAAGCAGGCGGAGCCAGAACCCTTGAGCTCTTATTTGGTTTCCTGGCAGTGTGGAGGAAGAAGTCTCTCTCCTGAGGCAGGCAGGTGCCTTTCCCCAAATTAGGAAGCCAGTGCCTATGAGAAATTTGGATCCAGCGCTCCAAGAGATAAAAAAAAAAAAAGTAACATCTGTACTTCTCAGAACCTGCGTCTATTCTTAGGGTGCAGAAACGTAAGCACTGAACGTGACATAAATCTGTCGGGTGCTGAAAGCAGGTGAAATCTGTGTTTGTGTGACACAGAGCAGCAGGAGAGGCTAGAACTTCTTCTTCCATAATGGAAAGTCAACGGAAAATAGCTGAAAATTGAAAATTAAGAACCAGCAATATAAGGATGTTAGTTAGAAATATAGAGGTGAAAGGACTTCTGGGTCCAGCTTTCAGTTTACATAAAAGGCAAAGCATTTCCTTCTTGTATAAAGAGGAATACTAAAGTGTAGGTGTTTTCAATGAAATAATACCTTCCCACGAGTTTAAAAGAAAAAAAAACACATAGTTCCTCTGGGTTTTTCTCAGATATGTGTCTACTCAATATTTCTGAGCAGAATCACATCACAACTTTTCCATTTGCAAATCCTTAGTCTTTTAAAGGTATTCTTGTACATTCACAAAATATTTTCGTGAGTCACTCACACTATAGTAAAAGTTACATCTACATCATCCCATCATCGGAGTGAAGGCTACTGAATTTATATATTAAAAAGTTCAAAGACTCCAGTTGGCCACTGTCATTGTCAGATCTATGACACCATCTGGTGGTGCACTATCCTTTTTTTTTTTTTTTTTTTTTTTAGTATATTTATTTGAGAGAGAGACAATGAGAGATTTTTTTAGTAGGCTCCACACCCAGTGCAGAGCTCGATGCAGGGCTTGAACTCACAACCCTGAGATCAAGACCTGAGCTGAAATCAAGAGTCAGACGCTTAATCGACTGAGCCATCCAGGTGCCCCAAGTGCAATATATTCTTGATGAATAGAGAAAAAGAGGCTGGGGAGGACCCCTGAGAAGTGACAACCGACATCTGCATGAACGGGGTTGTAATTTTGAATTATGGATAGTTACTGTGGATCACTAAGTGGTTATAACTGGTGAATTCTGAAAACTTATTTTTTGGTTTACCTTTCACTTTACCAGTGGAGGATAACATTGCCCTACTGCTTTGTCTTTGCCATTTCTAAGGCTGAAATCAAAGAGAAAAGTAAAGAGTGAGACGTAATGACAACCCCGATCGGGGGCGGGGGGGGCTGTTGGTGGCTACAGGAAAGAGAAGTCTTGCCCATAAAATTGAATTGTAGAAAGGACGTAAGTGACCACCAAACACGACCCATTTGATTTTGAGGAGGAGGACACTGAGGCCCACTGAGGCTAACTTTGGCTCCAAGCCCTGGGGAGTAGCCCAGCAGAGCTGAGGTCATGCAGCCCCGTGGGAGAAGCTCTGTGGCAGCCTCCGGGGAGGAATGGAGGAACCCTCAGGGGTTCAGCCTCTTAGTGGACCCCCAGGCTGCCCCCTGGCTCTGCTGTGACAGGTCGTATCTGTCTCCTTAGAAATGCACTGCCAAGATTCTGGAGGATGAGGGACGAAGGACGGGGCCCTACCCTGGGCAGGCTCGGCCACAGAACTCACCTGAAAGCCCCAGTGTAGCCAAAGTATCTCTCACTGTTGTTGGGCACGCACTTGTTCTCACCCTTCTCGTCGCCTATGCACAGTGCACAGAGATTGGACTTCGGGTCAGACCCAGGGGCACAGCTCTGGCTAAAGAATTCATCTGCAGAGAAGGAACATGGGAGTCAGCGCTTCCTACCTGAGTCGAGACAAGAGACCTCTCTACCCAGCAGACCATGCAACCTGGGTTGGGTTCATTCTGTGGCCCGGGATGGACAGCATACACTCGCTGTCACACACAGCCACGCACTACCACCCACCGCGGGCCCAGCAGAAATCAGAAGAGCTCACACCAGAGGCACTGACAGGAAGTCTGCCCAGGGACTGACCAGAGGGTCCCACTGTGACAGCCTCGGGCTGGAAACTCAACCGATGAACTTGGCGGCAACTCGCGGCAGAACCTGCAGGCCGCCCTCCAGGATCTGATGTCCACTTTCTCCAGAAATAGAAACCCTGCTTTTTACCTGGGTGCCTGGTCCCTTAGAATAAAGACCGGCCTGACCAGATGCCCTGTGGCTACTACAGAACTCACCAGTGAGCTCCTTAGAAACACCCTTCGAGGGCGCCTGGGTGGCTCAGTCGGTTAAGCGACTGC